TTACTTCATTTTCCTTCCTCATCACGAAGTTTAATTTTCAATCCTAAGACCCACCTTTATTACGCGTTACACAATGTCGACGATAGATGCCCAACGGATACGACATGAGTAAAATTTTAAAAGATTTTCTGAAAAAAAGAAATTCAATCAAAAGTTTGAGTCATAGAAATTAATTTAAAATAGGGGCCATATAGTACAATTATCTTAAATTATGGAAAGAAAAAGCATAAATGTGCGTAAAAAACTAAAACATCTATTAGCGCGAGTATCAAACAAAATTATACAAAAAGCTAAATACCAAAAGTGAATTTGGCTTCAACCCTGCGTGGTTGGGTTGTGATAGAAGAAATTTTAAAAGAGTAGCGTTATTTAAGTACCCAAGGGGTCAGATCACCCGTCTAGGTGAAAAAAAATAAAATTAATAGATATCACTTGTAACAATTCGGACCTTGTGTCCAAATCGTTATGTTATACGTATTGTCCGTTTTAATAGAGTTTGAGCTCATATTACACGTTACAGATTTCTATTGCATCTCCAAAATTCGAACCCAAAGAAAAGGTCTTGGGTTTGAATTCTTGGGAAACGATAGAAATTTGTGCGAATAAGATGAGTTTATGCTCTATTAGAACAGATGCTATGTAAGTCAACGATTTAGGCACGAAAATCAATCGTTACACCATTGGTGTTAGATAATATTATTTATCTTGAAATATTCGATTTCCTTGCCTAAGATACTCCAAATTTCCTTCCAAAAACAAATTGTAACAAAAAGAAAAATAAAGTAAACATAAGACCGAATACAAAATACAGATATCGCCATTCATGAGAGTGGGTGTTTCGTAAGGATATGTACTCAGAATTTTATAATAGCGAAATTTAAAGAAAACTCCATCTGTCCAGTATTGAAAATGAATTCACATAAACATCTTGAGAAAATTACAATTCCCGACAAGTTTTTATAATTTTTTGCATAATGATAAAGTAGTATTCAAACATCAAACAAACTCCTTTTCAGTCTTCTTCGAAACATTTAGTGGCCTTGCTCTGCTTCTTCTGTACTTCATCTTTTATTATTATTATTATTATATATATATATATATATATAATTTTTTTTTTTCCCCTCTAAAATATGTGTTCATTTGTAAATGATTTATTCTTCTTAACCTTGTGGCCCTGGTGATTTCGGGGGCCAGCTGGTCCCCCGTGATAGATAGGTGAGGGGAAATTCAGAGCCCATGTGGCTCCAGTAATGTAGCATCACTATTTTGTGAACATCGAGAATTAACATTTATCGAAATTTACTATTTTTAACGATAAGCCACCCCAAACATGCTGAACAGCATTTTACGTGACCTAAAATAACATACGCTTATCCCTCATGAGGTGGTCAAGTTGGTAAAATAGGTAAGCGCGGACGCCTTTGGTCACGAGTTCGATTCCCTCTATCAACATTTTATCGATCGAGTCTGTCGCATTGGACTTATTTAATGCAGTTTACTTGGTTGGCGTGATTTGCAGGCTATTGCGTCAGCTCGAAGATTTACCTAATGCACACCTAAAGGGTAGTGGCTACGGATTCTCCCGTCATCAAAAAAATAAAAATAAAATAACGTACACTTGTTTTGATTTTGTCGCATAACAAATTTCTCAGACCATAAATTTAGCCATTGTTTGAGCCTTATTTTTCTCTAACTTATTCTAAATTATATATTTTTCTAATAAAATAATTTTGTACATGAATCCAAATATTTAACTATACATTCTCCAAAAATTACTATTACAAAACTCATTATTATCCAAAAAAAAAAAAAAACATAAACATAGCCTTATTGAATAATTTACCTTAACAACTTGTCCGCTGTCTCAATTTTCATAATTTTACCTTTGAAGTTTCAAAAGCAAGAATAAGCAATTTCCACAAATTAATAATTTTGGCATTCAATCTTGTCATTGAATAGAGAAAAGGTTAACATGCCATGTGGCTTTTGGCTCATCTCCTCATACCATGCTATCGAAGTTTGCAGGACCATACTTCGACTAACACGTTAACATTCTAATTAAAGATGGATCTATCGAGACTATCATTTTTTTATATGCTACCAAAATTTGTCCTAATGTCACTTTCGAAGACTAAAGGCGGTTTTTCGTGCACCAGACACGTCACTTATCAAATTAACTACGACACATATTGAAATGCAAACACTATGAAATTCAAGTATGAATTCGCTTAATCCACTTTACAATATTCCAATCAAAACCTCGACACCAAAAGATTAATGATTAAAAGTAACATCAAATCAACTATTTTTAATTTAATTGATAGGTTTTTTCAAGTAAAGTAGACACGTACGCTATGGGATAGTTAAATTAATTATTAAAGTTAAATAACTCAATCGTATCTTTTCACGTGTAATTATTTTACAAGATATTATTTTTTAATAATGAATAATTTTTATGTTGGGCAAGACAATAATACATTTGTAAATCACTGATTGGCCCACAAAAAAGTATATACTAAAATAATGAAATGAAACCTTCACCAAATTATTTGAAAAATTGCATGTGCAGTGTGCCATTCATTGTCAGGCCACTAATTAGAGGGGCACCTGGCACCACACATTGTCTAATCTAATACACTTAGTGCCCTCAGGACATATCTCTCAGTGGCAAAGGGGAGGGCGGATAGGGCTCAGCGTGGCAGTGTACAGAGTTCGATTCTCCGCAAGGTGGAATTGGCTTTGTTGCAAGCGGGAGTTACCATATGGGGTTAACAGCCTTGGCCTATCCATATGCTTTCCATCCTGGCTCCTGGGAGGCATATCCTGCGATTTACCTCCTCCACGGATGGCCCAGAGCAGGGTCGGTGGGGGCCCTTAAGGTTGGGGTTCAACCTTTTTTTTTTTTTTTAATACACTTAGGGTGCGTTTGATTACAAGTAGGAAAATTACATGGAAAGAAAATGAATTCCAGGGAATTGAATTACCTAGAAATTGTTTTCATGGAAATTGTAAATTATTGTGTTTGATTGTATAAATTTTTCATGTGGAAAATGTTGAAGTAAAAGTATTTTTTGATGTTCGTTTGATTTTGTTTTACGTGAAAATTGTCAATTTCAGGGATATCCTCTTTTACAATTATTCCTAAAATTTGTTCCCATTGCCAACAATTAAAAAAAAATAAAAAAAGCAAAAAAAAATAAAATAAAAATAAGGGGGAAAACCAAAAACCACATATCCCCTAGGAAAAAAAAAGGTGGAAAATCACGCTTTAAGGTGTTGTACCTAGAAATTCATGGAAAATCAATTCCCTGGAAAATTTTGTCAATCAAACAGGCCAAAAGTGGAAGTTGGAATTCGAATTCCAAGTTCCATGGAAAATTTCGTGTAATCAAACGGGGCCTTAGTGTAATTGTGACAAGACGAGCCCTCTTTAATTTTATTAAAAATTATATTTTTTATAATCTTTATTAAAAGTTGATAAATTATGATTAAAAATTTAATAAAAACTGAGAATTTCATGAATACATGGTTAAAAGTAATTATAGAATTTAAATTAAATTTATATTTACTGTTTTAGCTAAGGTGACTAATAATTTTACTCGAAGGTAAAAAGTTCTTACTTCTAATAAATAACTGCATATGAGGACTCAGTAAAATTTAGATGGCTGCTTGATAAGGACATTGAAGGGTAACTAAATTTTAAGGCAAATTCAAAACAAATGTGCCTAGCATGTCTAATTTCATGTAACATGTTTTTGTTTTTCGCTAAATAAACATTCACAAGCTCCATATCTAAGGTGTACTCTCCATGTTTTCTGTCGACTGTCGAGTTAGATACATATTTGTTGACTTCTCGTGGCCATCTATCTTCATTGACCTCTTTAGAGTGATATCAAAACAAGTTTACGCTCCTCTTGATATTAGCTTTCAATAAAAACAAGTGATCCAAATATAAATTTGAGTGAATATATGGACTAAAGTGGTACTCAAAATTGAAATGAGGCCATTTTAAGTAGTGCAAAATGAAGCTTATTGTCGCCATGGGAGGATTTAGGGCTCAGGCCAGCCAAGCCCAATTCATTTTTTCCTTAGCTTTATTTATTTATTTATTTATTATAATGTAAAAGAGGTATTATGTCGATTTTTTTTTTGTTTTTTTTTTTTATATTTTACATATCAATCTAGAGTGAAAGATTTTTAGTCAAGTCATGAATTCGTCCATGATTGTTGCGAATTTCTCTAGTTAGGAAAAAAAAAATTATTAGCTTGTGCAAACCTATGATTCTCGATTAACCTTTTGATAATATCACCATTTAAATATACACTTGCAATGGTTCATTGAATACAGAACCAAAAATAAGGCTTTGTTTGACAACCATTCAACCACATTTTTTTTTCTCAGTATCCATTTTCAACCACACCTTTTTCATTAAAATAATATTACACGTAAATCAAAAACTTTTCTTTCCTTTTTTAACCATACATTTTTCATCAATCAGTATTCCATAATTCATTATTAACAAATAATGGGGCTCCAACACCCCGCTTCTTATCGAATTCTACTGTTTGTACTTTTGTATATCATTGGAAGAAAGAGTATGGTTCAATATTTTCATCATTAACGTGTGCGTTTTAAAAAATATTTTTAAATTGTTCCCCCACCCAAATAAAAAAAAAATATTGCCCCGCCACTAAACCATAAGCATCTTCCACGTATCGATAAAAATAATAGTATTTACAATTATTGTGGAGACGTCGTAGTAACGTTTACGAATATTCTTAAAATTTCCTGTTCACGGGTCTAACTTTTTCTTCCAAATGCACCAAATAAATTTTATTGGCCTACAAAACATGTGGACACGGACACGAAAGTGGAAAAATACACAGGATTTATGTGGGTCAATCGATTTAACCGACCAGCTCGTGAAGAGAAACAAGAGACTGTCGGTAAATACATTTTTTACTGTTCTTGTGCTATAAATATTAGGCACTACTCCCTTTACATTTCCAAATACAACTCAATAAGTTATTAGCAAGAGAGAAAGAGAGACTCCAAAGAAATAGAAACTATACCTATATATACAGTCTAAATATGGCAATGGTTCAAAACAATGGTTACCAAATGCCAATAACTTGCCAAACCGGTGTCTCGAAAATGGCAGTCCATCGAGAAACCGGCTACCGTAAACCAATCAACAGCCACAACCCTGAGGAGTTGTCGAAAATGACAGTTACTCTAAATAGCGGTTATGAAATGCCTATAATAGGACTCGGTGTTTTCCGTATGGATGGCAAGGTCATGAAGGACTTCATCCTCGAGGCTATCAACAAAGGCTACCGTCACTTTGACTGCGCAGGTAACTTTCTGCATGTTCGACATATTACACTAGACTTTACCTATCAAGAACAGTGAAATTTATTTTTTTTTAAATTTATTTTTTTTTTTTAAAAATAAATTTTTTTTTTTAAAGTTAAAATCTTGTCTATTTTACTTTTACTAAATGTTTTTTTAAAAATTACTCTTATGCATACCGTCACTTTGACTGCGCAGGTAACTTTCTGCATGTTCGACATATTACACTAGACTTTACCTATCAAGAACAGTGAAATTTATTTTTTTTTAAATTTATTTTTTTTTAAAAAAATAATTTTTTTTTTTTAAAGTTAAAATCTTGTCTATTTTACTTTTACTAAATGTTTTTTTAAAAATTACTCTTATGCATACACTATCTTTAATTGTCACGAGCGTTTTCAAGATACTCTCTCTTTACAAATAGCATCTTATACCAGAGTAAATTTTTTTTTTTTTTTTGGGGGTATTCAAACAATGCTCTCTATTTTAACTCTTTATTTTATTTTTTAAATTTTTTTATACGTTAATGGCCTATTTATTTAAACATGGTTAGAGTATTGAAACTTGTAACTCATAATTTGATAAATAAAAATAGAGAGTGAGTTTCACTATCTAAATTTAGAGAGTCAAACCTACTCTTTATTTAAAAAATTAAAATAGAGAGTCTTTTGAAACTTATTTTCAACTATGAACTCTCTAAAATATAAAGTATTTTGTATTTAGAGGGTCTTTTGGAGTTGTTCTTACATTCTTGTACTAATAAATTGGTAAAAATTACAGCTAAATATCAGAATGAAGCCGAATTAGGTGAGGCAATTGCAGAAGCAATTGAAAAGAAACTTGTCAAGAGGGAGGAACTTTTTATTACTACCAAGGTAAGTTTTTGCAAAGAAAAAGAGCATTTTTTGGTTGAAATTCTACTGAATTGATGCATGTTCTTTGTCCCTCGCAGCTGTGGAATTCAGACCACGGTCATGTCCTTGAGGCCTGTCAAGACAGTTTGAACAAGCTACGCTTAGATTATCTTGATCTCTTTCTCATTCACTTCCCTGTGCCCACAATTCACACAGGTAGATCAGAGTTGACTACATGAATTCTTTTTCAGACGTGCGTTTAATGAATATATCTGAACATTTTCTCTACCATTTGACAGGAATTGGCAAAGCTTCCAGTGTTAAAGGGGAAGATGGTATTCTCGACATTCAAACTAACATTACTTTGGAAACAACATGGCGCGGTATGGAAGATCTTGTTTCCAAGGGACTGGTTCGCAGCATAGGAATTAGGTAAGCAAAAATATCTTATCGAGTACTACAAATATTGTACTGATGTTGATTCTAATGAAAAAATATTTCTTGTGCAGCAACTATAGTGTGCTGCTAACCAGGGACTGCTTGGCTTATGCAAAAATAAAGCCTGCCGTGAATCAGATCGAGACACATCCTTATTTCCAGAGAGAATCTCTCGTCAAATTCTGTCAAAAACACGGCGTCTGTGTAACAGCACACACCCCTCTTGGGGGTTCTGTAGCCAACGTCGAAATGTTTGGCTCTGTGTCATGTTTGGATGATCCAATTCTCAAAGTAAGTTATTTTATTTTCTTCCGATTTTTCTTTCAATAATGATATTTGTAAGCACGGCTGACGAACAACATACACCTTTGCACAACAGATTTTGGCTGAAAAATATAAAAGGAGTGTGGCACAGATTGTTCTTCGCTGGAACATTCAGCGAAATGTTGTCATCATCCCCAAGACATCCAAAAAGGAGAGATTGTCGGAGAATTTACAGGTTTTTGACTTTGAGCTCACTAAAGAGGACATGGAACTGATTAAAGCACTGGACCGAAATCACAGGACCAACATTCCTGGAAAGTTTTGGGGCATAGATATATACCAGTAAATCACCTGACTTTTTGAGGTCATACCTGGAAAGTTTTGGGGCGTAGTTATATAAGTAAATCGCCTGGCTTTTTGAGGTCGATGAAACAGTAATTTACATTAGTATTGAGTGTGTTGTTAGTATTGTGTGTGGTTAGAGCTCGACATTCGTGATCTCTCTTTGAACGATTGATTGAGACGATAAACAATAAAGTTTGGCTATATGTAATAAATTTATGCTATGTTTACTCTCTATATTTGCTACAATTGAGCAGCAAAACCCATTCGATGCAGTTACAAACTTCTATTAACTTTATGCAGAACTTGTTACATATTACATAACGAACACAGAATCTTGGTAGGAAGAAAGTTTTCCTCTCCTCTACTAGAGCATCTCGAGGTACAAATCTCTAATATGAAAAGTAAAATTTGTCTACTACATTTATTGTATATGCTACTATATGTATTGAATAAAAAATGGAGCTCAAACAGGGGCTATTACCGGCCTTACAAGTGACTGACAACGTTTGATCATTAGCCTGATCTTTTTAGACATGATTACGGCATTTATCGCTGATTATCTTAGTTTTCATGGACGGATAATGTTATATCTAAATGATTGTAATAACAGAAGAAAGCATTGCCAAGAAATTGCAGCATGCGTGGTCAAGAATCATTTATTGAAATTCAGTCTTGAGGATGCATCAGTCGATTTCTTAATAAAGTATGCCTTCCTTCCTCTCTCAATGTCTCTCATCTTTTGGGACTTGCCCTTGGTGATTATATTGCATGTTTGATGATTTACTATCTGCCTAATAAGAATTTTCATCTTAATTGTTGCTGTAATTATCGGTAAATGATATCATCAATTGAACTTTAAATGAAATCTTGTTTCAATATTCTTCCCATCGACAAAATTTTTCTTCAAACAAGTTTGCGCTGATTACTTGATATGTCAAGAAAATGTTGATTCTTGATTCGGTTGTTAAACTCATCAGTTAGGAAATCAGTTAAGGGAGTTAGAAAATCAGTTGGGAGCCTTAGATTCTAAAAGATTTTCTGTTGATAGTTTAACTGAATGGTACATACATTTTCTTGTATCTCTCTACTGTCCTTTGTCTATAAAGAGGACTGGAAGCTGATAACTTGAGGGGGTGAGCAAGAGTGAAACGTGAGTGTGTGGGGAATCACATTCTGTGAGCAAGAGGGATGATTTTCTGTAGTAAGATTGTGAGAAAATTCTCTGCAACACAATCTTTGTGAACTTTTTGTGAGCTTTCTGTGAGGGTCTTCTGGTGTGTCCTGGTAGAGTGTTGAGTGGTGATGATTCGTGTAAAACAACACTGTAATTTCTTCTCTTGAATGGTAGATTGACGGGGGTGAAATTCCCTGAATTGGTTGATGAAATTTGTCCCAAAAACAAGCATCTCGTGTCTATAATCTGATTTCTTTCCTTGGTTCAGATTCTGTCATTTCTGGGTATTCTTTTCTAGTATGCAAATGTGATTTGATCTTTCCTGGGAGATGAAAAACCTAACACTCCTTAATGATGCTCTAATTTAGTTTCTTCATTGTCTTTTTTATTAGTCCAATCTCTCGAGAGATTGGTACGGTTGACCAGCCAAAAAGAAACAAATGATCGGACATGCAATCTCTCGAGTCATGAACTACCTCAGCACAACCGCAGCATTGCTGAGAGCCAAATACCGTTGTACATAATCATTTGGAAGCGATCCTATCATCTGGAATACCTCAGCATTGGCATAACGGAGTTTCGTCCTTGGATCTAAGTAAGGTGCCTATAAACTTAATTGCCAGATAGAGAGCTTCGCGAAGCGGTATTTCAGCAATGGAATTCAGAAACTATGCTATTCAAGCGTAATGCATTTGTTCATCAAAATCAGTGCCACATATGATCAGAATATAGAAAATAATCGTACGAGGACAAAGAGATAATGCATACAATCTGAGAGTAGCAAGCTCTCCAAAGGTTAAATCCAATTACATGATTTCTTATCCTATCACAAAGTCTGGACCCTTGAGTTTGCTCGAGGACAAAGGGCTGGATGTTGCATGACATAAACTAAACAGCAGTTTAACAAATCCACAAGTATATCCTTTCTTTGAACTAATAGTGTGTCCAAACTAAGCAACACCACAACTGGCCAACACCCTGCAAACCAAATTCATGACACAACTTCAAGGCAAGATGATCAGTTAGGATGTTACATAGCATAACGGCAATAACTTAAACAACATAGAACATCAACAACCGTTAGTGAATGGGAAGGAGAGTTGTACCAAAATAAAGTGAAATGATGAAGTACAGTAACCCTATTCACAATTGAGTCAAAGTACAGTTACCAGAACAAATTAATCCGTGTATATGTTTAAAAGCAAAAACAAAAAATAAGATAAACATGCTTGATTCAGGAAAAACCAAACCCAATGGGTCCATATGTTAAGAAATGAAGGGAAGAATCGAATTTGGTGTTTCTAAAATATCTCTGGAGAAACAATGATAATTGAATTTTAATATTTTTAGGAGTCTTTTAGTCATTTTACAGGTTCTATTAATTTTTATGTTAGTCAATGTGTGTAAATTGTAATTATTGAAAACACAATTTGTAAATACACCCAATATTATTTAGTAAATTTCCCTTCAGAACATGTCAAGAAATACACCAACATGACGACGGTTACATTACACCATCTCCTTGTGTTTAAATTTGGAGAAAAGTCAATAGTGAACATATAGTTAAAATGAAAAATACCTTGAATCCGGTTATATCACAAATTCTTTTGCATGGCTGCATAGATGGAGGTGAATCAATGTTGACATCTGCAAATAAAAGCAATGGGAGGGTATATGCCATAAATAATTAAGTTAAAACAAGTAGAATTTTAAGAAAAAAGCCAAGCAGTATTGAATGTCTAAGAAGCATGGATACTTGTAAACTTGTTGTATACTCATATGTGTCATATCTATCATGTATTCAAGTTTGGATATGCTTGGAAACTCTCAAATACATACCGGATAGGTTTTTTTTAGTTATTTTATATTTTTATATTTTTAAAATTTTCAATATGTATTGGACATCTTAGGACACGTGAAGAAGAAGAATTTTATTGGTTTTAATTTCTTTTAAAACTTATTATATTATTCTTCACAATCGATAACAAAGTGTTTACATGATAGATAACTATTGTTATTACCAATAACTTATTAAAAAAAGTAATATTTATTAATTAACAGTTCTCAAAAAAAGTATATGTATTTTAAATAATAGATAACTACACAATTTACACTTATTATTGGATATAGTTATAGCATTAAGCCCTTGTTTAGCCCCGTTTTTTAGAACTCATTTTTTCCCAAATTCATTTTCAAACACAAATTTATGAGACTGGTAACTTTTATCAACTTTTCCACCATAATTTCATAAACTTTTATCATAATCTATTAAGAAGAGAAGTAATATTTAGTAACTCCACTGTTTTTACATCTCTCCACTCGGCCAACAATTTGATTTATTCAGTTCAATGCTACTGATTTGGTTCCATAAACTAGAACTTTTGCAGATAACTACTCACTGTTGTAACATCTTCGTGCAATCCATCCTTCTAACTAAATACCAACAAATAAAATTGCACGTCACACATTTAAGCTGGAACTTACAATTTGGTTCATTGGGTGGATAATTTTGGTAATTCTCGGCTTGAATGATCTGCTTGAGATGGTTCCACCTCACTCTATCCTGTCCCTTAGGGTACTTCTCATACATCTGAATCTTTTTAAATTTCATGTGAGTGGGCAACACTAGCTCCACTTCCACCACTTCCGGCTCCATCTGAAAAGGAAAGCTCATAATCAAGAAAAAATTGTTTGTATAATCTCAAGGTGCACTTGGTTATCAACTTTAATATTGATTATGGTTCAAGATGATGCACAATCTTATAGGTCCTTATGCATGCCAGTCATCCTAGTGCTCAGTTGGCTAAACATCATTATTGCCTCAAGATATAAATTTCCAGCAACAAACAAAATTAATATTGGCTCAATTAAAAAATACAAGCGAGGAGTTTGGCAATCTTGCATTCAACTAAGCCCATGTTTGGTATAGCTAAAAATCAGATTTTTAGTACATTTTGACATAAGTTGATGAAATATAAGGTTGAAAAGTTCATAAAAATTGTGAGTCTTATGAAATGTGCGACTAAAATTAATTGTTAACTTTAACTTTAATTTTTATCAAATTTTTAAGTCACGGCAAATAGGGGCTTGTTTGTACCAATCTCCGAACTCATTTAAAGTTGAACCTAAGCCACTCTATGCCAGCTTCCCAGATCGGATGTTCAGGTCAGCTTGGAAGGACCACCGCTGTAATCTCAACAAACATCATGAATGCAGATTCCCTGCAACTTGTCAAATCACCCAGTTGGATAGGCACTCTCTGGAGAGAGTGACGTCAGCACCGCCTCATCCCACCAATCGGTTACCATGATTCCCTCATCTATGGCAGGTCATTATTACTCGAGGGAACATTGAAAAGATGGCTGCTGACCTCGTCGTCCAATCATAGCGAAGGTCGGCGGCGCATTATCCGAGCTTATCACCTCAACTGATTTGATTGACATGATGCTATTCCAGCCAAAGACTTCCTATAAATAATGAGGGGTCTTTCCATAAAAAGGGGGGTAAGGAAAAAAAGAAACACACTTCAAATCTAAAACCAAAGAGGATAAAACGAGGGTTGACGGGTAATAATCTTTACGATTGTGAACGTCAACAACAGACATTCTTGGTCTTTCTCGCAATGGAAAACAAATTACCCTTTCCTTTTTAGTAAAGTTGGCTCGAGATCAAGATTTACAAATTTCGACGTCAACAGGGCTAAATCAGGAAAACACATAGAAAAAGAAGCCTCTAGCCCAAAAACAAGAAAAAAGAACTAAGTAAATTATTTTATTGGAGGATGTGTGGTTGAAAATGAGTTTGGGAAAAATGAATTTTTAGAGAAGGGAGCTCAAACAGGGGCAAAATTCCATAAAAATTGTCCCCTAATTTTGCTACAGTTGGCTTGTCAAGTTGACGTTTTCTAATTTAATTATAATTAGTTCACTTGATTTAACAAATATATAAAATGAGAAAACATTTATTATTTTACTTTGAAGGAAACTTGGACGATATATAAGTAAACATGAAGAAACTTGTGCCATGATCCTCAAAGCCCAGTTGTAAACAATCTGCTAATTGTTGAAAAAAATGTGCTCTAGAATACATTATTATTTTTCATATTCCAATCAAACGGATGCCAAACTATAGTTTTACGGCTTATTGCCCGCAAGAAAACAAGTCCTGAAGATAGTGCAATAATTCCGGGGAAAAAATGGTATTCAATTACATGTGAAACAAATTAAAAGGCGATAAAATTAGATTATTCTAATGTTACCCATGATTAGGATTTTTTTTTTTTTTTTTCACTCACCCAATCATGAAGAAACAACAGAATCACTTCACCAACAAGCAATAAAATAATATACCAACTGCAAAATCATTCAATTGAATTAAAGCAAATAATCCAACAAAACAACCCGCCCAAAAATTAAAGAATCAAATGAAATAGAATAGTTGCATTTATCCACCGTGCATGCAGGAGTGTACAGAAATAGAGAGGAGAGCTAACCAGAGAAGATAAGGCGAAATGGGTAGCAGAGACGGGTCAAAACTCCGGCTGCGCGTCCGGGTAAAAGCATAACGTGAATCTGATTGTGATGGATAGAAATAGACCGATATTTCTTTCAATATATTTGAGAAGTCATTTAGCCCGTTTGTTTACCATTATTCGTCCATTAAAATAAAAAATATCATCGTTATCCATCATATCAAATCACCATATTTAACTTTTTATCTTTTGCATGAAATTCATAACGACTATATTTTTCATTCTCATTTTTACATTAATGTGTATCAAATGGGGCCTTAATTATTTAACAGATTGGAGAGTTAGTTGTCCAAATTCATTGAGGTACTTTTATAAAAGGCCTAAATAAGGGGGCAATTTTTAAAATGGCTGGATAATTGATCCAATTTTTCACAATGGCCTTTTCTGTTGGAAGTACTATTTTACATTTACTATAGTTATTTGCAAAATGTATCTTATATTTTTAAGGATTTATTAATCAGGACTTATATCTATATTTTTCAATCTTTCAAACACCTTTAAATATTCTTTGTATCTTGATAATTCTTCAAAAATCCTAGACTGGCCTTTCTTAGTTATATATTGTCGAACTAATCCTTCTGAAATTTCTTCTTGTATATCTCTATGTTTAGTTATAATATCCTCTACCTTTTTTATCTCTCTACTAGTTCCTACAGAATCAAATCCTATATTATTTTTACAATTATAATCTATATCTCTATATATTTCTTCAATTTTTTCTTTACCAACATGAAATATTTCTTCAGACTTTTCAGTTAATTTAAATAAAAAAAACATTTTTTTCATCTAAAAATAATATGAGATTATTATCATTATTAAAAATAGATGTGGATGCTTGTGAATTGTTCATCAAAATAATATAAGCATGTAAGAATAAGTAAATAACTTACAGTAATCAAATGGAAGTAAGCAAACTTTCCCTCCAGTATGCTCTTATAGATATTTTGCATGTACTTAATCAATCTTCTAAATCAAGTAAAGATTTAAAATATTTTTTTTTAAATCATTTGGGTCCACAACTGCTTCCGCAAAAGGCTTTTCAATTAAGGTTGCATTTCTCACTCTAGAGAACTAGCCATGTTTCTACAGACGCTATCTCACAGTATTCAGAGTCTCTGTTTTCACCTCTATCCAAACTCTTTTCAGAATCAAGTTCCTACTTGGAACGAAATTTTAAAAGATAACTCACACACAAGATGCTACAATTTTGTTAGAAAACTGCCTTTTTTCCCCTAAACCATTCTTCAAAGACGGGTACTTTAGCATGGCTAACATCCATTCAAAATCAATGTTTTGAAAATCTTTTAAAATCTCTATCTGTACTGCCGAGAAATCATGAGAAACTTAACGAAATCCTTTTATGAAAGCTTTGTTGAACATAACAAACTTTACTTTAATATTCATAAACTGAAATTGTACACGCTTACAAATTATATTTACATACCTTTGGTACTCACCTTATGAAGTTTAGAACTCCATAAGTGATTACCTTATTACACGCTTTACTATCTTCAAGCTATCTAGTTATTTTTCTGAATACAAGTGGTGTATACAGATTACAAAAGATATATCTCTAAGATGTGTTTTCTTCAGAGTGTTTCAGAGATAAGTTGTTTCGAGATATCTTCCTCCTTGCCTCCTTTTATAGAAGCCTTTGGGAATGTTATTTTGACAGATGTTTTCCACCTTTCTTTGTTGGGTAGCTAGGCCATCTTATCTCCACCGAATTTTCCATTATCTTCTTGCTCGGTGGACCTCTCATTTTGAAATTATATACCTTATCTTTTGAGTTTGTCTGCCACTTGTGACAATTGGTGGAGAAAAGTCACAATTATGGAGACTTTTCTTGCACTATCTTCTGTCTTTTAGTAGCCACAGTTTTTCTTTAATAAATTTCTTTATTAAAGTAGTGATAAAGGGCTACTTTTATCACCATTACTTTTCCATTTTTGAATCAAAGAATTCTGCAGGAAATTCTTCACTATTAAGAGATGCTTGGCTCATATCTTCAACTACACAGTATTCACAATGGTGATCACTGTAATTTCAAAGTAATTTGCATAGTTCTTTAACTATATCTTCTGATCCATGTACTTGGTTAGAAATAATTGTAGATAATAAACGGTCGAGATAACAAATATCTTCTTCCTTTGTGGGCATCCTTGCATTGGAATAGATAATATGATCTTCAGATGGATAAACCCATATCTTTTCCTTCTCAATAATTATCTGAGTTACATGTTCAAATATCTCTTTGTACCATTTTGCTCTTCTGTAGGGCATCATATTTAGAATATCTTGATATCCATTTTTAACAACCTTTTGATTGGTTGGTAAAAAATGTTGATTTGTAAGTCCCATTTTTATTACATGGAATGATGGATACATATATTTAAGAACGGGATCTCATTCCATGGTTGCTGAATGGAATCTGATATATATATTTGTTGTCTTGACGACTTCAGTATATCTTTTAACAGCTTTCCTAATGTTGGTTGGAAGTTGAGCTATCTCTTTGAGATCTTTGCTAGGATATATACAAAATATATTTTCTATCTCAAAACAATTTCGAACCCAGTTGATTGGTGCTCCTGGATAAAAATTTATCTTG